TTTGAGACCAGCCTGGATAACATAGACCCCTATCTCTACAAAAACTTTAAAAATTAGCGGGATGTAGTGGCACATATCTGTTGTAGTCCCAGCTAGTTGGGAGGCTGATGAGGGAAGATCGCTTGAGCCCAGGAGACAGAGGCTGCACTAAGTCATCACTGCAACTGCTGCACTCCAGCATAGGCAACAGAGCAAGACCTGTCTTGAAAACAAAACAGAACAAAAAACGTGCAGATTTAAGAATCCCATGTCAGACCCCTTTGGGTCCAATTGGGAATCTGGCAAGAGAGCCAGATTTTAAGATGGGAAGGAAGGAACAGAAGGAGAAGGGGAGGGCCCCAGAGACAAACTTTTGACCATTTCAAAAGTTGGTCTGGTTTGCAACTCTGGGTTACATAGCCTGCAGGGTCTAAACATTTGTTATGCCCCCAAATTATAACACACTGAGAAATAGTATGAGAAGCGAAAGATCAATCCTGTGTGGAGAGCACCATGCTCCATTTCCCACTAACTACAACAGAGAGGATGTTTCCCTGTTCTGAAAGCATTTAAGGTAACAAATTAGATATTTTTGCTTTTATGCTTTATAAACATTCAGCCATCTTGCCTGATAGAATTGCTGACGCAGCAGCCTCAGACCTGATATTTGTTTCTCATGGATATTGTGAAATCCACCTAGAATTATCATACATTAGAGCTTTGGAAGAGCAGTAAGGAAACTAGCTTCAAATACTTATTTCTCACCTTGGCCACATAGCCTGTTCTGTCACCACAGCAGCACCAAGAAGCCACAGTCAGTTACTTCCTGAACCCTCATTTCAGAAGCTCGCTTTTTCCTTTTCCCTTAGTCACCTCTGGCACAGTCACACAGCAGCCCTAATAAGATACTGTGTGAATACTGCCTTTTTTTGCCTCTAGATTATTTATTTTTCATCAGCACTCTTGTTGAAATCAAAATGTCTGGTGGTTAGACTCAAGCAGAGGAGAGAGCTGAAGCATACCACAAAACACGGACCTTCACTTAACTGTAAGGTCAAAATAGGGCTGGGCATGATGAAAGTTTAAGGCATCTTAGGTATGTAGGTGTGGTAAATTCTGCTTTTTCACCACCCTGAACATCAAACTATAGCTATTGGGGGTGGAATTTGTTTTTCTTTTGCTCCTTTTCTTTCTTTCTTTTTCTTTCTTTCTTTCTTTTTGAGAAATGGCTACATAAAGTTATGAAGTAATTCAAGTTCAATGTGTACAGTAAATGTATAAAAATGTGTAAAAAGATGTTATTCAGCTATCTCAAATATGAGCTAGTTGAGGATGTAGAGGTGGTATATACTGATTGTTTCCTTTAAAATAATATTTTAAGGGTATTTATTTTTAGCTACCCTAAGCATCAAAACTATAGCTTTTGGGGGTGCAATCTGTTTTTCTTTCACCCCTTTTCTTTTTTTCTTTCTTTTTTACTTTTTGAGAAATGGCCACATAAAGTTATAAAATAATTCAGGTTCAATATGTATAGTAAATATATAAAGATGTGTAAAAAGATGTTATTCAGCTATCTCAAATATGAGATAGTTGAGGATGTAGAAGTGGTATACACTGATTGTTTCCTTTAAAATAATATTTTAAGGCTATTTATTTTAAATAGATAATTTGTTTCTTAGGCCAAACTGGTTTTCCTTTTTGGAATAGTTGAGGGATTATGCTGTGAATAATGAGAGTGTGGGTGTAAGAGTGTGGCTTTTTGGAAAAAGTGGTCTTTCAGCCACTGGACCTTGAAACAGGGGGTCTGCTCTCAGAAGAGCTGAATCTTGAGCTCTTCTCCCATTTCACATAACACGCAAGTGACTTGTCTTTCTGTCTTTCCTTTGGTCTTTGTTCCCTCTTCTACCAGTTCTACTTTTCTGACTTGTTGCAAGACCAAGTTTGATATGACATGGTCTTTGTTATTGACTGGCTTATGGGTTTTTAATTAAATAGAATTTTCATATTGGGCACAGGCAAGGTCACTGGTCTCCACCATTTGAGTATAGCAAGTTTTTGAATTTTGCTTTTATAAAATGTCTCATGGAAGGGCCATTTTTAAAAAGAGCTCTTTAGACCATTCGTTCATGAGACAGAGATGTTACTCCACTTGAGTAGTGATGGCAGTGATATTCTGGATATTCGGGACATAATAGTTTGTGTCACTGCTTCTTAACCAAAGCTGAAATGTAGTAGCAAGTCTACATGAAAGCCAAAGAGGAGGCATGAGTTATGAAAACCATGTTGTTTTTTCAGAGCTAATAGCAAAGCGGCCTGAATTTGGTTGCCCCCATGCTTCTGCCTGCCTCCGATACCAGTGCAGGAAGTTGGAGAATCGGCTACTTCTGAGTGGTCTGCAGTATTACCTGGAAGTCATGCCCACACTGTTCCTTTAAATGCTTCTGTGTTGGTCTCTTCCTTGTGAATGTTGAAGGCATAACAGAAATTCCCTGGTTATCTGACCTTTAAAGTTATCCAAAATAATGACTTTGGGAGCCTCTAGCATGCAGCTCTATGATATTACTGATCCAGATAATTTGGTTGCATTTTCCAGGGTGTGCTGTCAATTAGCTTTCCTTTGGAAGGAGAAGGTAAATCACTGTTTTTCACTAGACATCTGGATTTTGTGTGACTGGCATGTTTTTTTTTATCAGCTATTGACCCCCGAAACAACAAAACATGAAATAGTTAAAACATGTTTTCTTCAAGTACGTACTCAAAAAGTCTGGCAATGGGGTGTGTGTGTGCAAGTGTTTTGATTTCAGAAGGGGAACGTCTTAATTTAACTCTATACAATGTGTATATAATAATATAATTTTAAGACACCTGCTTCAAAATAGAAACTAGGATGCTGGAGATAATAACCATAAACAAAAATTAAACCAGACCGGGCTCAGTGCCCAGGAAAACTAGCCAGACTCCAAGAACTGGGCGAGGAATAAACTAATAGGGGAGAAAAGGCAGGAATGGATAGACTTACAACTGCCTCCATTAAAAAAGACTGCTCTGCAGTGTGATCACTGTGGAGGAATTCCATGGGGTCATTTGTCATAATACTTGGGGTTCCTGCATGCCTCATTTCAATGACAAACTTTCAATGGAACTTACCTTCCTTAGATGGGAATCTTAAAACATGCCCGCAATATACAGTGATCTCGAGTTGTGTTTAAGCTTTTAAAATGCTGTAAATTACTTGGAAACAAATGGGCCAGAAGTAAAAATAGGAGCTCATAACAACTTTAAAGTTAGAAAGAAAGCCTTCATGTTTCCCAGGCTTAAATGTTGTATGATTTACATAAACACAGGAGGAAATTCTCTTTGTGTGTTTAGGGGTGTGTGTCTAATACAGGAACCCATGTTTTCCTGTTATTGAAAAGCCTTCTTTAATCTTTTAAGCACATTTTAAGACCTGTCTATATTCCAGGTGTATTGTTTTCTTTAACATTAAAACGTAAGAGCAGGTCACAGTCATCAGAGAAACCTATTAGGTCTCCCATTTGTGTCATAGGAGACACAAAAAATAAATGAATCAAATTAAATGGATAGACAGAGTCCTGGGCAGACTGGTAATACTGCCTGAATTCAGTTAGAGGGAATGGTTGTTCCTCTTTGTGAACAGAAGACTATAAAAATTCATCTGATTGTGGGTGTTAAGAGGATGATGACTTTTTAATCATAAAAGTAAATGTAATTGGTATGAAATATTCAGAAGTTTTTAGCAAATCTAACTGAAATAATGGGTGATAAACCGAAACATTGTTTGAAGTTAAAAACAAATCTTCACTAAATTATGGTTGGAAGCAGAGAGAGTAGATAGTACTCAGGCCATAAAGGTGGTCTTCAGTACTGGGAAAGTAGGGTTCTCACTAGATCTAAAGGCAGTGGCCACCTTTCCTTTGTCTCTGCTCTCCTGCTTTAATGACCACAGACAATGAGCTGCAATAAGCTATGGAATGCATGAACTGTAGAGTCTTCCTGCTCACCAACGGTGATTGGAGTAGGTGCTTTCTGTCCTTCATCCCTTAAGAATTCTTTTTGCCATCTGTTGAGCATCTGCATAGTTATTGGAAAGTGTGGAATCTGTCGGGTGATTTGAAACAAGGAACGAATACGCTGCAGATGCATAGTCGTCAGCAAGTCAGTAATTAGGATCATCTTCATTATAGCCAATAATGATTTCTACTTTCCGTAGTTCCTTTCTATTTAATTTGCTAATTCCTACAGCCAGGGTCCAGGAGAAGCTTTTAGGAAATCCCTTTAAAGACCATTAATTACTTCCTACCCTTGAGTCTCCAAGTCACAAAGTAGGCAGGTGTAGAAATATTCAGAGTGCCTCTCCTGGTGCCTGATGCTTGACATCAGTCTGAGAAGTGATGCTGTCTGTCTTTAGCACAGAAAGGCTTAGGGGGAGAACTCGCTGAGGCTGAGAGGAGAAACTGTCCTTTTCCTACAGGTGTGGAGGTGTGCCCAGAACACCAGATTCAATCATAATTAGATGTAAACTAGATACAAACTGAACAATATTAGAGAACCAAATAGTTTGGGGATTTTTTGAGTGAGGTATTACTCCTCATCACTGAAGCCTAAGATGTTTACACAGGACTATAAAACTAGAAATATACTTTGCAGTTCTCTAGGGGAGCCAATTACCTTCATTTCCTTTAAAATTCAACCTTTCCCAGTGAACCCTACCTGATGCCTGTCAGTACTATATGCTTCTTTTCCTGCAAGCTGTAATTGTGCACTTGTAGCCTCCATTGAAGGTGCTTGGTGTTATTCACTTAAGTCATTTTCAGTTTGAATGGATAAAGACATAAATGAAGCAGCCCTTACAGTTACAATTATATTGTAAACTGCTTCAGAGTGAAGATTATAACATCTATTTCCTTTACGTTCACCCCTGACCAAAGGCACACATACTTATTCATATTCCCTCCTTTCCCCCTCCGCCTTCTCTCTGTTATTGTGCATATACACAGTAGGTGTCATGTAGAAACAGCACTGAATGTGGAAACAAACCACCAACTTGCGGGTGCACTAATCTGAGTAATCTTTTGTTGGCAGTGACAAACAAGAAACCCACACAGGCGTCCATTACAAAGGTCAAACAGTTTGAAGGCTCCACATCGTTTGTTCGGAGATCACAGTGGATGCTCGAGCAGCTTCGCCAGGTTAATGGTATCGATCCTAATGGGGTGAGTGAATTGTCCGATGCTGAGCAAAGGCATTCTTTTCACAAGATGACTCTCTGATTGACCTTGGTAGTGGTGGTGGTGGTTTGAATCACTCTTAAGAAGGCTATTTCTCTATTTCAATTATGGGATTAAAACTTTCGGATACATAGTCCTTTCTTAAGTGAAATTATAAATCTTTTCATCATGTTTAATAGAGGAACCTAAGAGAATGCATATTGAAGATATGTGATCTCCGGTAACATCGATCAGCAAGTACAAAGTTCAGTATGAAGTAAATGAATGGTATCTTTCAGTATGTATTGTGATTCCCTTGCTTTTAATCGGAGAAACATTTTCTGACATAGTTATCTATTCAAAGTACATTCCCGTTGCTCACACACACACCTCACAAAATGCTAATAATGAAGAATAATAAAATAGAAATTGTTACTATAGACTAAAATAGCAAGAGGGGATCTTCCTACCAAAGTTTAGGGGCCAGATTAATATAGGTCATTGCTGAGAACCTAAAGGAATCCCTTTTCCAGGAAATTGGGAAGATAATACATGATCTGAATTCTGACATTTGTCAGTGTTTAGTTAGGCTATCTCAACTTGTGTGATACTAGTTTCCTAGGAACGTGTATCAATACTGTAAGATTTGGGGTTTGCTTCATAAACAGAGAAACGCAGACTCTCCATACACTTGGATAAAGATGAGCCTTATGATTGCGATCAAAGTCTTTGTTTTAGCCTTTATAAATCTTTTGACAGGAGTAATCTAGAAACAGCAGTTTTTCTAGATTGAGATGAATAGTTATTTCATTGTGTTTTCCAGGATTCGGCAGAGTTTGATTTGTTGTTTGAAAATGCTTTTGACCAATGGGTAGCCAGCACAGCATCAGAAAAATGCACCTTCTTCCAGATCCTCCACCATACCTGCCAGAGGTACCTCACGGACAGGAAGCCGGAGTTTATTAACTGCCAATCCAAAATTATGGGAGGTGAGTGGACATTTGTATGACCTTAGTCACCCTGTTTCTTTAGGTTCACTTTTCCTTAAGAAGTTAGGAGTTCAGCAGCGTAATTAAAGACAAAAACAAGAGAAGAATCAATATGCTCAGAGCTAGACAGCACGAGAACCATTCCAGGGAGTTTATTGTATGATAAATTTAGACACAAAGGTATGTTTTACTCTTGTCCAAAAGCTGGTCTGTTTTAGAATTAGCCTTCTAGTTCTTACCTTCACTTAGCTAAGATTATTTGTATAATGAGAACAAAACTGTTCCTTTATTAGAAAAATCTTTTAGTTTGGTTTCTTTACTACCTTTTCTATAATTTCAGTGCAGAACACTATTTTCTGGGTTGCCTTTTCCTATTTTTTCTCAAGATGTTTTACAAATATTAATATAAAAATTCCAACAGATGCTTCCCCTTTCTTTCAAATAGCAACTTGTGTTTATTCCCTGAATGGCATACAGAGCTGAGTTAAGATGAGTATAGTAAGCCACTGTAAAGGGGTGAGTACCAGCATCGACAACATAATGAGAAATGTTTAGAGGGTGCTTAGCACATTTTTTAGGTGGCATTTCTTTTTAGAGAATTGAAACTGGGCAAAAAATGTAAAAGTCTCGACAACTCTGTGAGTTGGGGAAGAGTGTTTATATCATTGGTCTTTTCACTGACCTGTTCCCTTGGTTTTGAAAGACTGTTTTAAAAAATGCACCAGCTTTGCCTTAATCAAATGTTAAATAAAGATCACATTAAATACATCACATCTTCTCCTTGGGCTGTATATATGTTTCATATGAACATACAGCAGAATCCATTACTCTGTCCTAGCAACTGACACACATACTGTCATTTTGCCATTAGTTACTAGAAGTTATATAGAAAAGTTATTATCCAATTCTTTGGTATTATCCACTGAGGTGTTGGCATTCCTTTTAAGTAGGAAGTTGCTTACATCATAAGAACCTTGAAAGGCCTTTCTTAGGTATTTATGCAGCTTATTTTATTATAATTTCTCTGTTTAATCCCAGGAAAATACAAGAGGTGATGAATGGTGTATATTTTTTCAAGGGGCCACATCCTATGGTACAAAAGTGAAAAATATTAGACATAGATGTTTAAAGGAAAGGGAATTTCAAACACTGACCTATTTGGAAAATATAGTGAGATATAGCTCTGTATCATGTCTGTGCCACCAGTGCTCTTAAAATGACTCCTGCTTTGAAAGTCTAGCCGTAACAGACTTGGCAGAAGGTTGAAGCACACCAGGCTTAGGACCACAGATGGCCACATTTTCAGTGAATGAAAAGTTGGCCAGGAAATCCCAGGTTTCCCTCATTCTTCGTTAGGTGGAGTTTGCTCTGCTAGCCTAGAATCACATTTGTTTCTTAATCTTCAGTTCCTGCTATGAAGCATTTTTCTCATCCATGTCCATATGGGCAGTAGCTTGCATGGCTAGCATGTGAGCACAGACTGTCTTCTCAAAATAATGTGACGTTATGGATTTGAGATTTCTGTTGCTCTTGGAGAAACACTCCCCTCAAGCATTCCACTTCCTCATGTTCTATCCTGGGCAGTGTGGCTAGAAACAGACCCAGTGCCATAGAAACTACTGCACTTCCTCAGAATGGAAATGTGGATGGAAGCAAAAGGGCCACACACTCACTGTCCTTGCAAGGGAAACGAGGTACCTCCCTCATGCTAAGGTTAGGGATAGCTTTGCTGACTCTTCCTCTTCCTCCTTTAACAGACTGTCCTAGGCAGTTCCCCTGCTCTGTTACCCCTAAAGGTCTCATTTCTTCTCTAGGAACAGGCTTTTTCTTTCATTCATTCAATTACTGTTCATTATCCAGTCATACAGTAAATGAGGACTAAGAACCTACTACATGCTAGTCACTGAGATAAGGCCTGAATATAGAGAATAGTTCTATATTTGGTCCCTTAATAGACCCTAATTGCCACTACTCAAATCCCAGACCGATAGATCTCTAATTTATTCTTCCTTTGCCTTCCTGAATATCCTCAGACCTTCCCACACAGCCCCACCACACTGCTTTTGTCCGTCATTGACCCAGCCCTTCAGCTTTCTTTCATTGCCTTGTGAACCCCAAATTATGCAGAGTTGAGGTGGGAACTCATATGTCCAATGTTAAATTGTTGGTACGTGTATTTAGGCAAGCCAAATAAGGGTTTCCTGTAGTAAGAAAAAATTACAATAAGTTAATGAAAGCAAGTGCCAGAAATGCCTTTGCCTTGTGTGACTGTAGGTGTCTCTCAGCTGCTCTAGACTTCAGTTTTCCCAGGTGTCACATGTAGAGGTTAGACCAGATGCTATATAAAATCTCAGTTCCATCATTTTGAAAGTCTGTAATTCTTAAATTATAGTTTTATTGTGTAGGTTAATTGCTTCTTATCTAAAGAATCAATTAAAGATTTAGTGCAATTAAATATTGACAAGTCCTGGATTACTAAGGAAGGCACAAAAAGGTTTAAATTAAGCATATAGTAATTTGTTGGCAGCACATATAACCTTAATGAATGCAGCATGTCTTAAACAGTTGTTTATCCTTGATAATGGTTGTGCCAACATACCCTAATAAATTAGTATGCTGATTAGTCTTCTTTTCTGCCAGTTATCACACTTCTGAGACTTCAAAATTCGGTGCTTCTGGGGCTACTACATTCTGACCTCTTTAACTTTCGGGTATCTTCCACATCTTTAGGATATGAAATCTGTTGCCAATTTCTCAGTATCTTTTGGTCTCTCCCTATAGTATGGGCCACAAGTCCTAAATACAATTGTTTCTTATACCATGAAATAGGATAGTTTTATGATTTTAAAGAACTAATATAGGTGTTAGTGTGCTGCCTAACACCAGATTCTGTACACATGTTATCTAATTTAATTTTTATAGCAGACTTTGGAAATATACTTTATCAACTCCATTTTATAGAGAAGGAAACAGAATCAGAGAGATCAAATAGCTTGCCAAGGGTCATATAACTAGTAAGTAGTAGAGATAAGATGCCAGTGCCGGCCCACTCATTGGCTCCTTAAGGCCACTGAGTGGCAGGCTCCAGGAAACACCATTGACATTGTCTTTGTTATGAATGGTGCCCTCTAGAGTTGTACATGAATTGCTGGGAATATTTTAGCCAGTACATTCCTGGGTATTAAAAAGGGAGGTGGGAGAAAACCCACCTATATGGATAGTTTTAACTTTTTTCCTAGTTTTGTCCCAGGAAAATATTTAAGATAATTCTTAAGCTATTTTTTTATCCTAAGAACAATTGAATCATCAAGTGCCTTTAAAATCATCTTGCTTTTTGTTTTTTGTGTTTGTCCACCAGAACTTCAATAGAGGAAACAGATGAAAGCACTGGGAAGACAGTGTAGCCCTAGCCCCCTACAGGGCCTCTCAGGTACTCTATTCAACCTAAAAAATGAAAAGGGTCAGAATCTAGATTAAAGAGAGTGTAAATGCAAAAGTTGAGGACAAGCCCACTCAAGAAGCACAGATTCCTAACAATGGAAGTCAGTGTTACAAAGCATAGAAGTCTGAGATTGCTTATGTAGACAAAGCCTGGGAAATTTTAGCAGAATTTCAGCATCTTTCTGTGTAAGGCTTAATACGTAGTCACAATGACCTGATTAGTTCAGATGGTCCTTCTCTTTTGAGAAAGGTCATTTAACATTCCATTGCAGTTACTGCAGATGTAACTGTCATGAAGTCCCTGTTCAGGGAACCATCTAGTCTGAGTTAGGTCAGGAGATAGGTCAGGACAATAAAGAAGGCATTTAATCTCTAACAAAGATTTGTGATTGGAAGGTAGAGGTCCGATCTCTGGTCTCGCAGTCATTTACAGAACAAAAACAATGAGGAAGAGAGTTAAGCTATAATCTAAGAAGTAGAATTGCATAACATGCTGTATGACTTAGATCACAGCCATCTCTCTCTCAAGCCTTAAAGTGTTTTGGGAGTTCCAACAGCTTTTAAATTGTATTTATTTACACATCTGTATCTGGTCCAACCCTGTCATTGGGAAAACTGAGGCCCAGCCATTTTGAATGACTTTGTCAAGGCCAGGGACTATGCAACAACCTACAGAGACTGAAGGCAGAGGTGTAGAGCCAGGTCTGCTGCTGACATGTGACATAGCCTCATGAGTGACAGGGGTCCCTGAAAGTAAGTCTTAGGTTCATATGGTTTGGATGTACTTCTGAGATGGTAGCTTTCATTTTCTCTGTGTTTACTGTAAACAGAAATGATGTTATACTGTTACATGTGTGATGACACATTTGTACTTCAAAGGTGCCTCAAAGGAGTTAATAACGTGTTATTAGACTCCAGAGGAGGGACTTGCTTTCAGATAATTCATTTCAAAGAGACGTGGTCTGCCCCAAATAGATGGTCAGTTTAGATAATGGGTATGCCACATTAGGTCAAGGTCCCAAGGCAGACTTTGTTACTTTACTTACATCAGTATTCTTTAAATGTGAGCACATCCCACATGGCTCCCACGTTGCTGGTTCATTTGTGTTAACCAATTTAGAATGATTGCTGTTGGCCTAGTATTCGTATGCCTGATACTATGAACTGTAGAAATCTTTGGTGATACTGGCAATTTCCGTGTTAGAACCACAAAGGAGGTTCTTTACAAACCCATTTTCTTTTTCATTAAGAGGTATAAATTATTTGCAAGAAAAAAATAGTTTATTCTTCAAGATAAGCATAAACTGAAGCATATCCAAGCGTTTTTAATGAACTCTCAGGCCGAATACCCTAGCTAACTCATTCAGTTCCCTCTTAACTATTTCACCTGTTGTGTATCATCCTTCAGTGATTCCAAAAGCATTTACTCAGCACTATGTAAATGTGCTAAGCTAGCTGTGGAGCTCCAACCACACAGTAGGCACCTTCACCAGCTTGACTTACTTTCTGGACATATCAGATGTAAATAGATATGAAACATTGCCACGAGAGCAAGGGGA